TATATATAAAAAACAAAACCCACTTGTACTTGTAAAACACTGACAGGTGTAGCATATCTCAGGAAACTTAAGGAGATAAGAGAAAGAATTTAACTTGTGTGACTGATGAACCAGTGAGTGGCTCTTGACAGTTTTTCAAGGGTCAGTTTTAAATTAACTTCTTGTTCAAAACTTGGATACATTTAATCACATATGGAGGTTTTATGTTTAATATTGAAATGGCAGTCTGTAAGTGAACCATCTATTTAATGGTTGTACTCTTTTCAGTTTTCTGCTCAGCCTTTTTAATAGACACTTTATTTTTGAGGTCTGTAAACAAATTATCTTCCACTCAAAAATTGAAAGTTCAGCTGGATATGGTGGCTCACAACTATAATCCCAGCACTTGGGAGATAGAGGCAGGGGGATTGCTATGAGTTTGAGGCCAGCATGGGCTTCATAGTGAGGCCTGTCTCAAAAAAAAAATGCAATTCAGATTATTTAATTTCAAAATCATTCCATAGTAGTGTCTATATAGTATGTACGTTAACTATTATACTTCTATGGCTAAAAATCAAACAGCCTATGTTATTGTAATAATTCCCTTTTTACCTGAGCTCTTCTATTTTCCCTGTTTTGAGTGGACAGTACTTCTGAGGAATCTGTATGAACTGTTCTTCCCCTGAATGTTCATCTCACTTAATATTCTGCGTGGGTTATACCATATAATGGATGTTATTTGTATTTTACTACAATGAAAATTATTTCAAGCAAAAACTTGTGACATTTTCCAGAATAACTGATTATATTTAGTATTGTTTAATCATCTCCTTGGCTTTTTATATAAAATGAGTATTGAATATATTTTATTTTCATCAGAAATTCAAAACTAGAATTAATGTCTTTCTTCTTGACTTCTGTTCTGTAGAGCAGGTTGTTGCCCTGGATGCCCAAAATATTGTAGCTGTTTCATGTGGAGAAGCTCACACATTAGCTCTTAATGACAAGGGCCAGGTGTATGCTTGGGGTCTCGATTCTGATGGACAACTTGGCCTACTAGGATCAGAGGAATGTATCAGAGTGCCCAGGTAACAAAGGTGACCACACAGAGGGTCCTTCATCTTTTATAATCAATTTGTCTAAATCATTCTGCTTACTGTGAGCATGTAAGTGTTGGTATCTAGTTACCACTCCTATAAGAATTTACTAGATGATGTCTTGATTTTAATTTGTGTTTAATGGTTGAATGGTTGTTTTTATAGTTTTGTACTCTCCACAGTCAATAGGATTTATATTTGTAAAGAAAATGAATGAGGAACACCTACTTTACAGCTTTTATCTTAGGTAGTGTACACTGACACATGCCACTCATTCTATTTTTAGTATTCCCTCTATTCATGTATTTATTAATTATTGGTTAGGTGTATGTTTGTCTGCAGCTTGATTTTCTTAAGTCTTCATTGTTGAAATTTAATATTAAATCCATAATATTGTGGCAAAATAACTTACTTCAGAAATTTAAAGCTTCATCCATTTTGTAGTCTAACAGATTTGTATAGGGCATAGTCATTGTTTTGATATAGCTGTTATGAACATGGATATATGTAGGTAAAAAGTAAAGATTTAAAGGAAAATATTTCTTTAGATACATCAGTAGTATACTAACTTGTACTTAGTTTTTAAATCATACAGATTCTGACATCTTTAAGCTTTTTTGTTCTTTCCTCCTAGTATTATTTTAGGGTCAAAAGAACTTTTCAGAGAACCAAGATATTCCTTAATTAATTTTAGACTTACTCTGTGTAGCACATTTTTACACCATTATATATTTTGTTTTTAACATTGATGAGTTTTTTTTTAGGAAACATGACAAAATAGTAGAGCATGAACTAATGAATTTCAAAACGAACTCATAACATTCTATATTCTATAAATACAGTGTTTGTTGAGACTTTGGATAGAATATGTTCATATATTTTCTGTCTTGACTGTGTTCTCACTAAATACAGTGCCACAAGACTCTTCAAACAAATTTCTTCCTTGTTGTTTCTTCTTTAGTAACAAATAACGAACAGGTTCCTAGTTGATTTATGTCTCTTACTGATGGTACTTTTGGGAGAAAAAATTTTTCCTTCAGTAAATTTTAAATTTTCTAGTCATTATAGTTTTTATTTCTTTTAAAAATGATAATTTGTAGCCATGTGGGTTATTAACCAGATAAGCAACCATAGAAACAGTGCCTCATTTTGATCTACTACTTTCTTCTTAGCAGTTGTTGTGGAATAGGGTTTCTAATTTATTTATTTTTTTGTGGTACTGGGGATTGAACTTAGAACCTTGTACTTGCCAGGCAGGCACGTATGCAACTGAACTATATCCCCAGCCCCCAGGGTTTCTAATTTAAGATTTTAACATTGTGTGTGTGTGTGTGTGTGTGTGCGCTTTTTTAGGAAGAAAAGAACTTTATATATTAGACTTTTAAGTCAGCATTCTCAAAACAGTGATTCATAGCAAAGCTTTCTGTATTTTTAACTCTCTCAGTCACATCATACTTTTTTGTTGCTTTTCATTTGTGATATAAAAGATTTGAGTCAGTACTGTCAGTGAATAGTAAGTATAAAGAAAGGTGATTTTTAAGGGGACTTAATGTCGAATTTTATTTGAAGTTGCCAAACAAGAAATTGTGCTCTCTCTATCCCCACTTTATGGTGCTGGTGATTAAACCCAAAACCTTCTGCATACCAGGCAAGGGTTTTCCCATTGAGCCATACATATCCCCAGCCCATATTAGGAATTTTTGTCTGTGTTATCCTCTGACCCTGCTGAGAATCTGAAAGAGAGTTTACTTGGCTTCTTTGGTTTAAATGGCTGCTTTTGTGTATGTTAAGCATGTAAAGTTTAAACTGTATGCTAAGATATTTCTGCTGTTCAGCCTTTTCAGTTTTCTTCATGGATTAACCTGATTTATTATGGCATATACATAGTTTTCACTGATAAACATGATATCATGTTTTTAAAAAGACTTACCAGTGATTTTGTTCCTTTTTTAAATTTCAGTACTGAATATTTTCTTTAGGTACAGTGCTTTTTCTAATGCCTTAGTAGTATTAGCTAGTTTTGTACATTTTACATTGTCTGTAAGTAGATTTCTAAAAGATTAGTGTTTGTATACTTTCATAACAATAATTGGGAAAGGGAAAACTCCATATTAGGTTAATCTTTTCTTTCTAGAAAATCCATTTTAATGCCAGTAGATAAGAGTATCAAAATTAAAGATTGTGGAACAAATAAGTCAATTGTAGCTGAAATTCTTAGTAGTTTTCTAGTTAATTTTCTCTTCTGATTTTGTTTATTTTAATAATTACATATCTAGGGAGAAGATTAAACTTATTAAACAGTAATGATTTCTAAACATGAATATCTGGCTAGATTTTTTTAAATGTAGAATATGTTACATTTGGATATGTAAAAGGTTAACCTTATTTTTTAGTATGAGGGGAAATATGTAATTATCCTTACAAAAGTTTAGAAGAATGCAGTGATATTATAGTACAGTGTATATGGTGATGATCTGAGTTCATGCAGCTAGTTTTGAACTTATTAAATGTTTGAATTGGCATTTTGATCAGTAAGAGTTTATTTTGTTGACATTCAGTTTTGAGCATTTTACAGTTTCTCCCAAATTTTAGCCTTTGAAAGTTAAGAATCATTTTACATTAAAAAGAATAACTATGGGGCCAGGGAGATGGCTCAGTAGAATAAGCGCTTCCCTGGCAAGTGCAAGGGCCTAGTTCAATCCCTGGTTCTGCCAAAAAAAAAGAGAAAAAGAAAAACTAGTGCTTTGTTTTCTTCAGTTGTGTGAGGGATGAAATTTAGGGCCTCACACAGGTTAGGCAGGCTCTCCTCATTGAGCTACCCTCGTCTGTTGTGTTTCTTAATAAGACTACCTTAGTTGTTAGCTTAAATTTTGCAAGATTGAAAAAAGTAATTGGTGTTAAGATCTTCTAAATTTGTTTTGGCTAAGCACGGTGGTGCATGCCTATACCACCAGCTAATTGGGAGGCTAAGGAAGAACCTGGGCAACTTAGGGTGTAACTCTTAAGTATAGAATTAAAAGGGCTGAGGATGTAGCTTCATGGTAGTTTTGCCATAGTGTTTGTCTGTCATGTGTGAGACCCTGGGGTTGGTTCTCCAGCACTACTGAAGAAAGTACTAAACCCTTGAACATTCCAGCCCCATTGTTAAGGATTTTCTTAAGATACTAGGTAAGTTGTAGTTTACCTGGGAAATAGCAAATTGTTAATTGCGCTTTATTGGCAGAATATTTATTACCTTCATCCCTCAAATTTACCAATTGTTGGAATTTTTTCTTTAAAAATACCTCTCATGTTTATATTGCCATTTTATATTATGCTAGAAAAATGGGAGAATACAGTAGTACCACACACACACACACACACACACACACACACATATATGTATATGCATGCATATTAAACAGTGTCTTAACAGATTTTCAAGGAAGAGGTGTTATTAAGTCTCATTTCCAAGTTTTATATTTTTCGTGCAAATTTCAGTCTACTGTAAAATTCATTTAAGATGTTTTTTTTTTTTTTTTTTTTTTTTTTTTTGATATTGAGAATTGAACTCAGGACTTTGCACATGCCAAACAGGTACAGTGCTGCTGAGCTGCATCCCAGCCCTGATTCATTTCTTTCCAATGAATCATTTGTGATGTCAGAGCCATTTATTATGCTAGGCATAAACTTTGGAAGAGTTATTTGAAATATAAATTTGTATAAAATGTCTAGTCCAGAGGTTTCAATACTGATTTTCTTTTTACAGATTTGATTGTTTAGGAATCTTCATGTTTTCTTTGCATATATGTATATACTAATGTTTTTTTACAAAATTAATTTTGATATTTATATTTTTGTTAGGTGCATTTGACTCCTTTTAAAACTTGAACACAAGCATTTATATTGTCTTCACTACACAAAGGATTTTCTAAAAATTTCATTTTAAAAATTGATATCTAAAGTTTGCATATTAATGAGATACCATGTGACTCTGTGTGTGTATATGTGTGTGTGTGTGTTGTGTAATTAGGTTAACCATACCTATTTTATTGAACATTGAGCTCTTCATGTTGAATCTCTTTATGTTGAAACTATTCAAAATCCTTGCTTTGTGAGATAGTACGAAGTTTTTTTTTTTCTTTTTTCTTCTTCTTTTATGTATTTGGTACAGGATCTACTGTGCAGCTTGGACTCGTAATAATTCTCCTCTTTCTGCCTCCCCAGCACGGGGGTTTCAGGCATACACGACCACCCCTGGTCTCGGTGGCAGGCTCAGTGTGCCTGGTCTACGTGGTGCCAGGGAAGGAAACTGGTCCCTGCACTTGCCTGAGCAGGCACTTAGTCTGCTGAGCTATCTTACTAACCCTGGCAATTGTTATCTGTAGATACTGTACTGTGCAGTAGCATACTCCTGGAACATCATCCTCCACTCCCTTCTATCTTCCTCACTCTTCTATAAGCACCATTTTATTCCCAGTTTCTATGAGATTCCCCTCTTCTGTATTATACATAATAGTGAGATTAGTCTACTTGTTTTTCTGTGCCTGGCCTACTTTGCTTAGTGTGGTGATTTCTGGTTCTATCTATTTTTCACAAATGGCAAGATTTTATTTATTTTTACTAGCTAAGTTATATTCCATTATGTACATATATCACATTTTCCTTGTCCATTCATCAGCTAATCTGAAGTTATTTCCATTTCTTGGTTGTTGTGAATTGTGCTGCCATAAACATCAGAGTGCAGCTGTCTCTTTGACGCACTGATTCTGTTTCTTTTTCATATATACCCAGGAGTAGAATTGCTAGATTTTGTGGTGGTTTTTTTTTATATGGGGGATCCAACTCAGGACCTTACTCTTGCATGCAGGCGCTTATGTCACTGAGCTGTTTCCTGGACATAAAATTTTTTTTTGAGAAACTTCATAGTCGTTCATAATAGCTGTTTCATAATAGCTGTGCTATTTGCATTCACACCAACAGTGGGCAAGTATTCCCTTTTTATATTCTCA